GTTCAGTGAGGAACATAGCACAGTTAGCTTGGCTTAAGATCCTGAAACAGAAAGCTGACTGTGTATGTTCACTTCCCCCCTCCCCACCCTGACCAGTCATTCCCTCGGGACACCTCCTTCTTTGTTCTGCATTTGCCAAGCTATTAAGAAGTCGCCATTAATCTTTTCCTTCTATCTTTTTTTGTGGTAAAGTTTATCATACATTCAAATGTATGGGTGTTTGTTGGTTTAATTTTTTGCATTTATTTTATGGTGAATTTATCCCCATGTCATACATTTTTGTTTCTTCTGGGATAATCTTTTTCTTCTGTGCCACCTCCTCTTGTGGCTTGTGAACAATTTGTTTCTTTTTAGAGAGGATCAGCTCACCTGGATGTGTTCAATGAACCACAGACTCTACATCTAAATCCTTCAGTTCAAAATTACTCTGTATTTTAAAGTTGTACAGCAAAAATTCTCACACTTTTTGGGCCACTGACCCAGTGTTCAGCCCCACTCTTTGGCCTGGGTACATGTACCATTGTAACAGGAATGACACACATTGTTTCTTCAAAGTGGTATCTTTCAGATACTGAGTGACTGTTCAGATATACATAGCCTTGAGGGGCAGGATAGTTTCACAGGTATTCTTAAAGTGAAAGTGAACAGGACAATTTGCATCTCTTGATTCACATGATTTTATGGGGTTGCTGGGTCAAGAGAGTAGTGAACCATTGTTTCCACAGGTCACCTCAGGAAAAGCCAGTTGGCTTTTTGTTTTTGAGACAAGGTCTCCTAGTGTAGCCAAGGCTAGCCTCAAATTTGTGGTTCTCTTGCCTCTGGCTCCCAAGTGTCATGATTATAGGCATGCGCTACCGTGCTCTGTTTAATGATGCACAGTTTAGTGGGTGCCGGTGGCTCACACTTGTAATCCTGGCTACTCAGGAGGCAGAGATCAGGAGAATCAAGGTTCAAAGCCAGACTGGGCAAATCCTATCTTGAAAAAAACCCTTCACAAAAAAGGGCTGGTGGAGTGGCTCAAGGTATAGACCCTGTGTTCAAACCCCAGTACTGCAAAAAAAAAGTGCAGTTTTAAAAAGACTTAAAAAAAAAACAACAATATGTAATCACCATCGAGCTTAAGATCTGGTGCCACTTGCTTGCAGATTTAGGTCCACAGGAAATGTGATTTCTGGCCTCAATCCTACAGAAATGGGAACTTGGGCTAGGAATTTTCCAGACACTTATCTTTATTTTTTCTGCTCCATTTAGAACAAAGACTAAGACCAGTTCACCCACTGAGGAGTTGGCCTTTTGGTATGTTATTAGGTAGGTCCTGTGTTAGAGACTAGCACTGCAAAACAAAACAAAACAAAAACAGATGCCCAGCCTGTGTGTGGTAGTTTGCCATGTGCTTTTTAAATATTGCATGACGACATTGTTTATCTTGATTCCTGAGTTTTGTTTTCCCCTTGAATTCTGCACATGAGGCAAGTGTCTCTCCCAATCCTGCTTGTTGGGGCTGGAAGGGGCCCTCAAACTTCCAACTCCTGCTGGGCCTCTGGCTCTGTGTCCTGATTGCAAACCTGTGATCCACTGAAACCCTGTCCTAGGCCCCAAGTCTTGACTGATGTCCCAGGGCAAATGTCACTGGCTTCTCCAGAACTCACCTGCTTTTCTGGATTCCTCCCTCCCACTTGCTCTCCCTCCTTTATTTCTTTCCCAATGCTAGGGTTTAAACCCAAGGCTTTAGGCATGTCAGACTGAGCCACATCACCAGCCCTGGATACTTTCTAAAATTTATATTTTTTAAGTATTTTCTTTACTTTTCCTGACAGCAAAGCTTTGTACTAGAATTTTTTTTTTTTTTTTTTTTTTTTTGGTGGTACTGGGGTTTGAACTCAGGATCTCACACTTGTTAGGCAGGCACTCTACCACTTGAGCCACTCTGCCACCCTTGAAATGTGTTTGTTTTTTTAAAAAAACAAATTATCCAGGACTGGGGTGTGGTTCAGTAGGATGGCACTTACTTAGCATCTCTGAGGCCACAGCTTCCATCCCAAGCACTGCAAAGAAAACAAAAAACAAAAAGACATTGGGACTGTGATTCTAGAGCTACTGAACTTGCAGGTCAGGGGGGTACCCAGGGTCCCTCTTTTTATAATGGGTTCTGTTGCTGGTCCCTGGGAGGAGAGGTCCATGGCTCTGAAGAAGGAAGGTGATCAATCAATTCTTCACAAGCTACCTGTCACCAGGCAATAGTTCCTAGGTCAGACATTCCTAGTATCATCATCTCCCCCCTTTCTTCTACCATTTTTTTCTTTTTTTAACATTTTTGTCCTTATTAGTGAGATGAACAAGTTTTACTTTGCTAAGAGAGCAGAGACAACATGTCAAATTCTAGGTCACACCATTCTTTTTTTTAGGCAGTATTGGGGTTTGAACACAGGGCCTCACACTTGCTAGGCAGTCGCCCTAACACTTGAGCTACACCCCTAGTCCTGCCTTAGTTATTTTTTGAATAGGATATGGAGTTTATGTTTGGGCATTTGTGGGCCACTATCCTCCTCTTTATGTTTCCCCCAATAGCTGGGATGACAGGCATGCACCACAGTGCCCAGCCATTGGTTGAGATGGAGTCTTGTGAACTTTTTGCCTGTGCTGATCTCCACCTCCCAAGTAGATAGAATTATTTTCTTTTTCCTTCCTTCTTCCCTCCCTCCTTCCCTCCCTCCTCTTCCTCCTCCTTTTTTTGTGGTGCTGGGGATTGAACTCAGAGCCTCAGTTTTGCTAGATCAGCACTTTACTACTTGAGCCATGTCCCCAGCCCCTCTTCCACTATTTCTGATAAATAAAATTATGAGCAAGACTTTGTCAGGAGTGTGACTTTTGGTGGTATCAGACATGCAGCAGACAGATGTTCCAATTGCTGTGGATACAGCCCCTCTCTTGTCCTTGCTTCACATCTCTTTAGTGATCTGTGTTAATTCCCTCCCCACTTTTTGTGGTACTGGAGATTGAACCCAGGGCCTCACGTGTGCTAAGCAGGTACTCACTGTGAGCCGCATTCCCAGCCCCCTTTTGATGTATTGCTCTCCCATCGTCTTCTCTCAGATGCCCTTCCCTGCTTCCTCCAGGCCCAGAGATCAGCTTCTCTATGTGTCCCATGAGTAACAATGCCATTTACAGACCAAGGCAAATTAATACATCACTTTACTCTGAAAACTAGTTTTTTTTTTTTGGTCATACTGGAGTTTGAACTCAGGGCTTCATGCTTATAAAGCAGGTGTTCTACCACTTGAGCCACAGCTGTATTCTGTTTTGGTCGGGTTATTTTGGAAATGGGGTTCTCTCTAATTATTTTGTGCAGGCTGGCCTCAAACTGTGATCTTTCCGATCTCAGCCTCCCAAATAGCTAAGATTATAGGTGTGAGCCACTGGTGCATGGCTAGAAAGCTTTTTTACTGAAGGATTTCAGCTAACAAATGAGGAAGAAACCAGAGAATTGAAAAACCACCATTTTGTAACCCTTCATGAAATAACTGAATCAGGCCCCACTTATCGGAAGTCGCAACTGTCAGAGGCAAGGTTGACAGTGGAAATTTACAATAGAGGGAGTCAGGCTGCAATCTGAACCCACTGCTCAGTCTCACTTTACTCACAGAGGGACATGCAGATAGTGAGTTCTGATGAGGCCCAGATCTTTCTCCTCCACTGTGGAATCTGAATCTAACCAAGTCTTGAGGTCTGATCAATGAAAATACAAAAGGTGTATAGAGCTGGGCACCATGACTCACGCCTGTAATCCTAGCTACTCAGGAGGCAGAGATCAGGAGGATTGAGGTTTTAAGCCAGCCTGAGCAAGTAGTTCTTGAGATCCTATCTCAAAAAAACCCATCACAAAAAAGGGCTGGTGGAGTGGCTCAAGGTGTAGGCCCGAGTCCAAACCCCAGCACTGGAACAAAAAAATTACTTAAGAGACATCAGTGTTCTAGGAATGGGGAGAGCGGGGTGTACAGAATGATGGAGGGGGTGAATTCAACTATGATATATTGTAAGAACTTTGGTAAAGGTCACACTGTACCCCCAGTACAAGAAGCATCTGCTTTAGAATGAAGGCACTATTTTCTCATACATTTGTTGTAGAAACTGCTTGCTTCTCGCCAGGCTGGTCTGGGACAGGCCTTGCATCTGATTTTGCATACCGGCCTCCTATTTTATTTTTTTGGTAGTACTGAGGTGTGAACTCAGTACTTTGCACTGCTAGGCAGGTGATCCACCTCTTGAGCCATGCCTCTAGCCCTGCTCCGTATTTCATGGAGGGCAGATCCTACCCCACTTTAGAAACAGGAAACAGAAGGCTGGGATGTAGCTCGGTGGTTGAACCATTTGTACAGCATGAGCAGGGCCTGGGTCCAATCTCCAGCACAAGAAAATACAAACTCTTTTTGGCAGTGTTGGGTTTGAACTCAGGGCTTCACTCTTGTTAAGCAGGCACTCTTACCACTTGAGCCACTCCACTAGCCCTTTTTTGTGCTGGGTATTTTCAAGCTAGGGTCTCTCAAACTACTTGCCCCAGGTTGGCTTTGAACTGTGATATCTTCCTGATTTCTGCCTCCTGAGTAGCTAGGGTTACAAGCATGAGCCATGGACATGGTGAATAGTGTCTGTAATTCATTCCAGCACCGGAGAAACTGAGGCAGGAGAACCATGAGTTAGTTCTAGGCCAGCCTGGACTACAGAGCCAGACCCTGTCTCAAAGATATAAAAAAGGAAGGAAGAAAGGGAGGAAGGGGAGCTCCCTCTCCTATTCCTCATTACACCTGTGAGAATCAACCTGTTTTTCTGTGGTAAGAAAGACTGTCAAAGAGAAAATAGGAATATTTGCTGAATTCAAGTTTTTCTAATAAGCACACTAGCTTCCTCTCCAAAACTCATTCTCAGTCTCTCAAATGCCCATGACAAAAACAGGAAAATATGAAGATGTGCGTTGTCAGAATCACAGAGACTTTACAAATGCTCATTCTCCTTCATTAAAAATTTCAAGTTACAAATATTACGATTCATAAATAGCATATTTGTGAGGGTGGTGCACTTAGTTCCTTATACTCTGCTCTTCCTTCGAGAACTTTCACCAACCCTTCTCAAAGCTGGTATCTTCTTCCAATCCCTCCGAGGAAGCTCAAGTCTCCCAGTTCCTGAGTTCACAATTTTCAATTCTATAGGCCCACTTAGCCCTGCCTGAGAAACGAGCAGCACTGCCCAGGGAGGGCAGAAAAGGTAGGGGCCATACTCAGTGTTGAGGAAAGGAAGTGCCCCCAAGTGAGGCCCTTTCCTGTGTGTCAGAGGAGGCTGGGCTTTTTGTTCTAATGGAGTGATCTCCCTGTCAAAGAGAAGTTGATTTTGCAAAATGCTCGAGTCCAAGGAAAGGTGGAAGTGTCTTTTTGGCATTCCCAGCAGATCCTCTGTAGAGCTGTGGTCCTGAAGGCAGAGTCCAGGACCTTCTGCTGCTGGTGAGGACACAGCTCAGAGCTTTCCATAGACGCTGATTTTGGCCATGGAAATGCTCTCTGTGTAGTGGCTCAAGCCCTTCTCATACAGGACATATAGCTGGGGTGCCTGTTCCTCTCCGCTGCCCATGCTGTTCTCTAGGGCTGCCAGTGATGAGTAGCCACTGGGTCCTGGCCACAGCTGGACCTTTTCCTTCTGCCATGAGGTACCATTGCTGAAACTCCAGCGAAGGGTCAAGTTCACTCCTAGGGAGAGCAATCGTTAGGGCTGGCAGTCTCTGCTCTGCCCAGGTCGCCTATACACAGGATCACTTCCTGCCCACCCAACCCTCGGCACTCACTGAAATCTGGATGGGCTGGATTGGAGAAGAAGACAATGCCAGAGTTGGTGGCTACAGCTCCTGCAGCTACCACAGGGTCCACGAGCTCAGGGTCGAAGGTCACATCTCGGAGCCTCAGTGTGTCACAGGCATCATAGCTGCGCAGGACGATCCGGCAGTGGCAGTGGTAGTTGTTTTGGTTCCGGGCATTGATGATGACTGAACCATCTGGAAGCTCATAGGGCTAAGGGGAGAGAATGGGCCTCAGGAGGACTTAGGGAGGGGGCAGGGCAAATGCCCCTGTCCCAGAAGACAGCAAGACCTGGCCTGGGGGTGGGACAGTGCTCTGGAGGACAGGGCAGATAGGGTGGATGGGGAACTTCCCATGAACTTCTCACCTGGCATTCATCAGGGTTGAAATCATTTTCGTGCTTGGGCTGACCAAACGGGATGCCGCTGATCCCGGTCCCATAGTGCCAGGAGGCACCATGGTCATCACTGAGGAGACAGAAGACCCCATCCCGCTCCAACGTCCCATGGCCACACACAATGAGCCGGCCCTTCTGTGGCTCCCGCTGTTTCTGTGAGAAGAGAAGCTAGGTGTCACAGAGGGGCACGAGGTGGGGGCTGAAAGCAGGGACAGGGAGCTTATGATCTCTGAAATGAGAAAACACATCGGGTTCTCTTAAGTTCTTCCCTTTTTCATTAAGGGCTCCAGAAAAACCCCACAGACTCCCTTAATTAAGAAGCTCCTTTTTTTTAGTGGTACTGAGGTTTGAACTTAGGGCCTTGTGCTTGCTAGGCACATGCTCTACCACTTGAGCCACATCCCAACCCTTATTAGTTATTTTTGTTAGACAGGACCTGGTGATTGTGCTTGGGCCAACCTTGGACCTCCAACCTCCTACCTCTGCCTCCCGAGCAGCTGGAATTACAGACATATACCACCATGCCCCAGCTTGTTTTCTGAGATCCAGTCTTGCTAACATTTGCCTGGGCTGGCCTCAAACCATGATCCCCCTATCTCCACCTTTCACATAGCTGGGATTATACTCATGAGCCACCACACCAGGCCCAAGAAACTCTTTTAGAATAAGTTCCTCGGGGCATCCAGTGTACACTGCTGAATATAATATGCACAAGAGGACCCAACCTCAGGAACTTACAGCCAACCTGAGCTCATGTACTCAGCTGCACACTGCAGCACAGGCCACCCTGGTCTACTTTGCACAATGGTACTACAGAGACTAGGGCAGTTCTGTTGACAACCCCCAAGGAAGCTAGCGGCAAAGGTCCATTTTCACCTGGTAGGGTGTTCCCCGCAGAATGTCCCTTCCTTCCAAGGAATCTCATCCAAGACAGAAATTTTGACTTCACAAGATCTCCCCCTTGGGAGAGGTCCATTTTGGGGCATCACCTAGATATTCCCAAGGAAGCCCTTCTACCCATCTCCCAGGACAGAGACCTGAATGCCAGAGCCTGGTCCAGGGGCAAACATCTCAGTGCCAATCTCCAGGGAGAGATTCCGAGGTGGGCTCCAGGAAATGCCATCATCCTTGCTCCATACCAACATGGTGGAAGCCACCTGGCAGCGGACCTTGTGAGCACAAAGGGTGTACAGAAGGAACACCACTCCTGTCTCCACATCACTGACCACCGCCCCCAGGTTCAGCCCATCGGAGGCCTCCCCATCATCTACAATGAATGCTGTGGAAGACCATGTGCTACCTGTTAAAAAAAAAAAATGCAGAATGAGTACTTGCTGGCGCCCCGTCTATCTTTTTGTTGTTGTTGCGGTGCTGGGGTTTGAACTCAGGGCTAGGCAGGGGCTCTACCAATTGAGCCACTCCACCAACCCTGTTTTTGTGTTGAGTTTTTCTGAGATAGGCTCTCACAAACTATTTTCCCGGGCTCGGTTCATACCAGCCAACTGATCTCTGCCTCCTGAGTAGTTACAATTACAGGTGTGAGCCACCTGTGCTTGGCTCCTACCATTTCTTAACTTTCTGCCTCTCCCTAACTAGGAGCCCTGCTCTTCCTTACCTATCTGACCTTATCACTGTTCTTCCTTGCTCACTCCAACCAGTCGCACCCAAGCGCCTTCTTATTTCCAAAATGTCCCCTCGATGGGGCCGTGTTTGCACAGCTTTGTTATCTCTGCCTGGTGCACTCTTCTCCATGATTCACGCTCATTCCAGTCTTTGCTTAAATGTCACTCATTTAAAACTGCAACCCAAATGCCAGCATCTCCATACCTCTTGCCCTGTTTGATTTTTCTCCATTGATCACCTTCCCACATACAAAAACCAAATTTAGTATTATGCTTATTGCTTGTCTCTTGTCAATACAATGTAAGTCTCATGAAGGCAGGTAGGAAGCTTTGGTCTGTTTTTTTGTTCATGGTTATATTCATAGAACCTACAACAGTGCATGATATATAGCAGGTGCTCAATAAACGTTTGTTGAATGACTGTTCAACTCCTTGGTGATCCCACGTTTTCCCTCTTTAGGTTTTCCCAACCCTTGAAGGTCTCAAGGCTTCAGCCATCCAAGTTCCTCTATCCTTGGGACCCCTTCGGTTGTGAGGATCCACCACCTCCCCTTCCAACCTAACACTGGCTCTTTCCACCAGGGGAATCTTCATACCCTGGTCCGTGGACCTCCGCAGGGCGATGAACTTGGCCCCTGCATCAGATGAAGACATTTTTCTGGCCTCTGCGAAGGCGAGGAGAGTGCCCCGAGGAGTGACTGTGATGAGCGGGATGCGGAAGGTGTCCACTGAGCCGATCTGCTTCCCGCTCACCCACAGCAGCTGCTCCATGGTCACCAGCGGCTGCACCTGCGCCAGAGGAGGAAATGTCAACTCCGACAAGCCTGACTTGGGGTGTTAGGACGGATGGGGAGCGGCTGTCCGATGAGAGAGGGAGGGTAATGGAGATCCCAAGCAGGGGTGGGGGGGGGTCCCTGAAGGAAATTTGGACCGAAGCTGGCCATTCGGAGCGGGGGAGGGGCTATGAGGGGAGAAAGAACCCTCAAACAGGGGAAGTGATCAAAAAGGGGGAAGGGGCTCGAATAAAGAAGTCAGGGACCCGGGGAGCGAGCGGGGTCTGGGAGCGGGGAAACAGTCCTGCTGGGGGGGACACAGAGCGGCGACCACCGCGCGGTAACTCACCAGGCTGAAGTCATTCTTCGCCCTAGCCTCCAATCCTTCCAGAGACAACAGCAGCTGGAAGATCGCGACAAGCACCGGAATACTACAGGCTTCCCAGAAGCTCAGTATCCGCGACCTCCAGGGTCTGCCCGGTCGCTTCCCCATCATCTCTCCCCACGACCCTGGTCAACACCAGGACAGAAGCTGCAGTCGGTCAGCTGATCCGGGCCCTTTAAATGTTCAGATGCCACCCGAAATCCGCCCCATGCTGTACCGCCCCTTCACCCTTCCGCGGTTCTAATTGGTCCTCAAGCATTCTGACCTCCGCCCTCGTGCCCGGTAGCATCGGGGAGATGGCTCTTCCAATTGGCCTTCTTTGGGTCGCTGAGCGCGTGACCGGAACGGGAAGCTTATTGGCTGGGGTGAAGGCGGTCTCATCCCATATGAGTCTTTTGATTGGCTATGGTACCTGGGCCGCGTCACAGGGGTTGGGCCTATTTTAAAGTGACCGGCGCGGGGGGGGGGGAAGGGTACGGTGTAGTGGAGGAAAAAAAAAGATAAAAAACCAGACTTACTGAGAAAACAAAATATTAATCTTTAATAAAATCTGTTTACTACAAAATCGGGATCTGTAAGGCAAAGTGTGGTGGCCATCCGTATAGGCGTACAGGCGGAGTGCAGTTCGGGGTCACTTTTTCCTCTTCTTGTTCCCCGGGAGCGCTTCGTTCTTCTTGCCCAGAATCTTCAGAAGAGAGGTGGGCATGTAATAAGGCCGGTCCACGGAGCCGTCGTTGCGCTCCAGGTCTTCCACTGAGGGCAAGCAGATCGGTGAGAGCGAATCCTGGTGGGCGCCTCCCCCTCCCACCACTGTACCCGGGTCGGGAGACTTGCTGCCTGGTTTCTATCCAGGCTGCAGCACCTCCAGCAGTTGTTTGTTTTTGCTTTTTTGTTGTTGTTTTTTTGTTACCGGGCAGCTGTTGTAACCTAGTGGACAGATTATGGAATCTGTTTCCTCGTGTAAAATGGAATAAATAATAGTATATTTCATAGAGTGGTAACAAGGAGTAACAAAAAAAAAATGCATGGCAATTGCTTAGCACATGACCGGGGGTGTAGCTAAGCGGCAGAGCGTGAATGCTTTGCAAGCAAGGCTCTGGGTTCTGTCTCCAATACAAAACAACCAAAAAAACCCCCAAAAAACCAAAAACCAAAAACCAAAAAAACCCACCAAAACCAAACCAAACCCTGAAGAAATGAAGAAAATCCTCTCTCACTATAGCCCCCTACTGGGAGTGTCTTTTAGTGGCTAACTTCTACCCTGGATTTCCTAAGGCCAGATACCAGAGGCCGCTCCCTCAGAATGTTCCTCAGTGAGCCCGCCAGCCTGAGGGCTCACTCCCTCCGTTCTTCCACAAACCCCTGGCCTTAGGATGTCAGCAGAGGCTTCTTCTGGCTCCTTTAGCTCACAAAACACTTTCTCTCTCTGACTGGAGTTTGAACTCGGCTTCACACTTGCCAAAACAGGCGCTCTACGTGAGCTACACTTCCAGTTCATTTTGGACTGGTTATTTTGGAGATGGGGTTTTAAGAACTATTTGCCAGGGGTGGCCTCGAACCTCCATCCTCCAGATCTCAGCTTTCCAAGTAGCTAGAATTGTAAGTGTGAGCTACAGTTAGAAAGCACTGTTTCTAAAAGCATGGTCTCAAAGAAAGCTTTGTGGAGGTGGTTGGGGGTGTCACTCACAGAAGCAGAGGAACAGTGTGTCCACACACATGCTGAAAACGCTGAAGAAGCCACTGGCAATGACATAGGCTCCCACGATGGAGGTCTGCAAGACACAAGGCTGTTAATACTGCTCAGTTCCTTTGGGAAGTTGGGGAGGGAGGCAGAGATGAGTTACTCACCATGATAGGTAGCCAGTAATAGTTGAGCTGGGGGTTCTTAAAGTCTTTTTCCAATCCCTGGATTCGACCAGAGAAAAAAAAGAAGGACAGGACACCTGTGGGAAAGTTCTGGAGGTCAGGACTGCTTCTCTGAGGTCACCCCTGTCCAACACCCCTCCCCCTTTGACCTTGTAACCCCTGGTCCTGGTCCTTACCAACACCTCCAACCACCAGCAGCTTGCCAAAGAACAGCAGCAAATCTGTGACTTTATCCAGGACAACTACCCTGTACCAGAATTGAAGGTAGGTTGGGGATGAGAGGCCAGGCAAGGTTGGGAGCAGAACTGCTACATAATTTTCAGGGATAAGTTGGAAATGACAACGATTCACATTTCAATATGGCACTTAGCAGAGCATTAAACCAAGCACGGGGCCTTCTGCCTGTGAAGCCAGACTTGGGTGGGGAGGTCTGAGGAGTGGGCCCTGTAGGGGTACAGGACAGCCTGACCTGATAACGTTCCTCATGAGCAGCATGAAGGCATTTTTGGCTGAGACACAGAAATTCTTCCCATAGATGGCGATCTGAGGGGAGCAGGAAGGTCAGAGTCACCTGCGGTTTGGACCGGGTTGGGTTGTAGGGCTCGCCCTCTGTGCTCACCATGATATATGCGTTGCGGTTCAGGAACTTGATGAACTTTTCCAGACACCAGAGGCAGCACTTGAAGCAACACATGATGCAGCGGGCCACAGAGTTTTGGGCTCCTGGGAACGAGGGAAGCCCATGCTTGGGTCACTGGCCTCTGATTGTCCCTTCCCAAGGATCCAAGGGAGAAGGCAGGGGAGCCTGCCTCAAGCTCACCTCTCAGCTTGTGGTCAATGTACTCCAGGATGATCCGGGCTATCTGCACAAGGGTCAGGATGAGGGATCCAAATGCCAGTGACCCTGTGTGGTAACTGCAGAGGGAGGTGGGTAATTTGAGGCAGCCCAGGATCCCATAATTCCTGTTGCTCACAATTCCTAGGGTACGGCTTACCGGAGTGTACGGATGAAGGCAGAGCTCAAAGGGAAGGTGGGGATGTCCCGGGGCTTGTGGAAGGCCCAGTAGAAGGAAGCAAAGGCCCCAGCCAGGACGCACTGGCCCAGGGCTAGTACCCAGTTAAGGGTCCAGAAGAGCCCTAGGACCCCATAGATTTGCAGGTTGAAGAGAGAACGCTGTACTAGGCCTGTGGACGAGTAGCCCTGGAAGACGCACATCAGCCCAGGGCACGAGGCATTCGCGGGCTGGGCCTGGGGTGGTGAGGAGGACAAAGTAAACTCAGGCTCAGCTTTTGCTCAGGCCTCTGGGCAAAGCCCTGACTTCCCCTTATTCCCAGTGACCTCCCTGAGCTGGGGAACCTGGTCCTTTCCAGGAGTTCCATCTCCACTGTCCTACCTCAGGCTTAGACTGTGCTCATTCTGGCTATTGTGTGAGGGTAATTAGCTTCCTTGGCTCCTGACTGGCATCAGAGCTCCCAGCCCACCCGGGGCCAAGTCCAAAGGTGTGTGAGCAGCATGACCTGCTTTCATTTCTCAGCAACTCCCTCCCAGAGCAACCTCTGCAACTTCAACCAAGATATTTGTTTTTCCTCGTGCAATTCAAAACAACAAAAACTCTGGAAGAAAAATTTAAGGGTGGAGGCAGGGAAATAAGAATAGCAGAAAACTGAAGGTTCTGGAATCTGAGTACAGGGATTCACTACTGTACTGATACTTACTCTGGGATAGTAATAAAAACTAAAGCAAATATGACCAAAAAATGTTTGAGTATTCTTTCTCTCTCTCTCTCTGTCTATCTCTCCCTTCCCAGTACTGGGGAATTCCTAGGGCCTGGAAATTGCAAGGTAAGAGCTCTACTATTTAAGCTACACTCCACTCCCCAGCTCAAATCTTTATTTTTGGCAGTACTGGGGTTTGAACTCAGGGCCTCACGCTTACTAGGAAGGCGCCCTACCAGTTGAGCCACTCTGCCAACTTTTTTTTATGTGGGGTATTTTTTTTTTTGGTTTGATTTTTATTTATTAACTTTTTTTTTTTTTTGAGATAGGATCTCACTATGTAGTCCAGGGTAGCCTAGAACTCTTGATCCTTCTGTCTCTGGTGGAGGCACAGGGGTTTGAACTCAGAGCTTCATGCTTGCTACGTAGACACTCTACCACGTAAGCCACTCTGCCAGGCATTTTTTGTGCTGGGTACTTTCAAGATAGGTTCTTGTGTACTCTTTGATGGGGCCGCCTTGAACCACAATCCTGATTTCTGCCTTTGGAGTAGCTAGGATTACAGGCGTGGCCCCCAGTTCAAATCTTGAACTGAAAATGAGTTCAATATACACTGAAATATACACTGAAAATGAGTGTATATTTGAAATTTTATAATAAAAAAAAAAAGAGCTGCAACTGGGCACTGGTAGCTCACACCTGTAATTCTAACTATTCTGGAGGCAGAGATCAGGAAGATGATGACTTGAGGCCAGCCCCAGGCAAACAGTTCCTTCAGACCCCGTCTGGAAAATATCCAACACACCCTGAGGGTTTGTGTCAATCTTCACTGCTGGAGGGCAAGCAAGTTACAAAGGAGAACCAGGTCATCCAGTCTTCTGAAAATCTAAATGAGGTCCCCCCACCCCTGCCCCTGCCTGCTTTTTTTTTTTTTAATAGACTGGGGCTTAATGCCTGCAGACACAGCTTATGGTCCCAGCTCAGCTGATGTGACAACATAACATGAAAGCTTTGAGGACAGTCATTCTCAGCCAGCAGTCTAGTCTAGTGCCACACTTGAGACCTCACAGGAGAGTTCTGGATAGCAGATCCTTGGGCAGGTCCCTCCAGGAGTCCCACCTGCTATCTGCCTAGGGCCATGTTCCAAGGGAAGTAGACTTAAAAAAACAAAGCAAAACCACCTGGGCAGTTATGAGCGCTTATCAGGGGCCAGGCACTGTACAAAGGACTTTAAGTACCAAAGTCACTTAACCTCCTCACTCAGAGGGACAGGAATTATGATTAGCTCTAATTACAGAGCAGTGGGCTGAAACTGAGAGGGTGAAGTAGTTAATGACCCTCTGGGCAGAGGAAAGTTCTGTTACTCAGTCTTCAGGCCTTGCGCCTTCAGGCCATGCCTTTTGTTCTGCCTCACTTTCCTTCCCACAGAATTCAGGGAGGTGGCAGACTATGTCCTCAACCATTTTTTTTTTTTTTTTTGGTGGCACTGGGGTTTGAACTCAGGGCCTCATGCTTGCTAGGCAGGTCCTCTACCACTTGAACCATTCCACCAGCCTAGATTATGGCCCTTGGGACAACCCCTTGTCCTCTCTCAGCCTTGGCCTCCATCACTTCTGCCCTATGGGGGATCTGGCTAGTTGTCCCTCATGTCCCCTCAGCCCTACTAAGGCCTCTCCACGTCTACCCCACCTTCTTACCAGGGGATCGCATGATTCGTTCACTGGTGCTTTCTCACAGCCAGGTGTTGTCACATTGTACACCCAGTAGACGTATTGGGGTTGCCCAGATGTGGCCAGGTACCCAGAGGGGAGTCAAGGAAAGCATGGTCACATGATGTCTACACAGGCCACCCCTTATGAATGTCCCTGGGAGCTGACGAAGGTTGTTCACTGCATAATGGGGGCTTGAATTCAGCCTGTAGTCAACTCTGTCCAGGCACAGGGCTGCGTCTGCAGTGGGCAAGCACTGCTTCATCCTGTCTGGCCCTCGCCAGAGCTCCAGATGGGGCCAGCTGTGTGGACAAAGGATACAGAGCAGTCGTGGCCCAGTAGGCAATACAAATGACCAGAAGGACAAAGGTGACCAGCGGGTAGAACATGGTTGACATCATATGTCCCACAGCTCTGCAGGGAGACAAGAGCAGTCCATCAACATGGTCCAAGTTCCACCCATTCTCTCACAGGGTTGACCCTGGCAAGCACCCCTCCTCTGTCCTGACAGAGGACAGAGGGTCTGCCTATCCTCCCAGGCTGGGAGCAGTGGGGCAATGACGTCCTGGTCCATATCTGTATCCCCAGCACCTAATGTGCGGGCAGGTATCCAACAGGTGCTCACTGAATGAACTGAATGCACCTAGCTCAGGGGACCCTTAGAGGAGACTGGAGTCACAAAAGCCACCTGGGCAGGTTTAGGTGTGTCAGGGAGGAGAATCCTCAAAGTGTGGTCTTCTGACAAATTAGGCAGCTCCTGGTGAACTGCTGCTTCTGGACTCCTGCCCTTTCACTCAAGACCACTGTGGCTCCTACCAACACTTCCAGAGACCAGGTCGATGTTCTAAGCACTTGGCAGACACTGATCCATTTAATCCTCACCACAACCCTATAAAGTACGGACTGTTATTATGCTCATTTTATAGATGGGAAAACTGAGGCCCCAAGAGGCTATCAGCCAGCAGAGTTAACCACTACTCTATTCTATCCTCCCCTAGAGTGCCCTGCCATCTCCTTCCTTTCGGTCTGCACACCCTGCTTCCCTCAGCCTCATCCCCTTTGCCCCCCAAAATAGTCCCTGACTTGCTGGCCTCCTCCAGGAGGGTGATGGCGATTCGGATTCTCTGCCGCAGGAAGATAAGCAGGAGCAGCAGGATGCCTTCAATCACAGCCAACACAATCACTGCAGAGGACAATGGGCAGGGTTGCTGGGTCAGGGTCAGAGTCAGGGCCCAGCACAACCTAGGACAGCCCTTGGGCAGCTGGTGGCTGGAGGGTGGGCAGGGGCACTTACAGGCGGCCAGCCAGGTCTCCTGTACGCTCTGGTAGGCACTGAGATTGGTGGTGAAGCCCAGCTGGGAGATGGAGGCACCCTTGTCCCGCAGCATTTGGTACTGCTCCCAGCAGTGGTAGATGCCATACGCTAGCACAGCTAGCACCCCCAGGATCAGCACCAGCACCAGGGGCCCGGCCACCAGGCGCAGAAGCAGGATAAACAGCAGGCTCAGGACCAGAGCCACAGCCAGGGCACTGCAGGCAAAGTGACCAAGGCGAGGGTCACTCCCTGGACTCCTAAATCGTTTCCTTTTCAGAGGCCCCAAATACCTTTCGTCACCTCCCACAATGTTCCCAGATTAGACCTCTTTTCCTTTATAAATCCTGATAGGCTTGGAGTCCACTCGGAGCTCTGGCCTTTCTCCTCCTCTACCCACAGTCTCAGCTTCAGACATGGGACTAGGAAAAAGCGATCAGGGAGGGGAGAGGGGAAGGACAGAAGACCAGGGAGTCAGGGAATCTGACAACTCACACAAGGATCCAATACCAGGACCGGGCAAAATCCTCAAAGATCTTAACAGTGATGTCGCGGGCATTGATGCTGTCAAGAAGGCCACTGTTGGGGAGGGACTGAGTCAGCTGGGGCTGTGGGTGGGAAGGGGTGTGGGACAGATGTGGGGGGAGGGCGATGCCTACCTGACCCCCTGAGAGATGGTGGTGTTATTGATCCATTGGAATTCGGGCAGTGTAAAGTCAGTGTCAGTTGATGGAAAGCAACGCCCCAGAGCTGGAGGGAAGAACAGGGGCTGTTGGGTGGAAGGACTTAGCCTTGGGAGTCTCTGCACCTCCTGCCTCCCACAACCCACAGTGTCCTCAGGGACAGAGGAGTGATGGGCTCTGCTCCTCTGGGTGCTGCTCTGGATTGCATAGCCAAGTGGGAGCTCCTGCCCTGTGGAGTTCAGGGCCACCCTCTCCCCTCTTTGTGATGCCCTGGTTCAGACCTCACCTCTGGCCTGGATTTCTATAATACTCGCACCTCACCATCCTTCCATTGCCCTCTGCCAGTGTGCCAGGGAGACCAGGGCATAGCATGACTTCCTATTCCAAGGCTCAAGGCCCCTCTGTTGCTCAGACATCTCCAGAGACCCTAGAGTCTGTCCCCACCCCCTATCCCTGCTTCAAGGTCCTGTGGTCCAAGTGAGGCCCTTGGTCCCATCACATCTCCACCTTTGCTATTGTGACCCTTTCTGTGAGCACCTTCCTCCTTCCAGAAGTCCCCTCCACTACTCCCTGCTCAGCTCCTGCTCCATGTCACTTCCTCCGGGAAGCCCTTCTCATTCCATCCCTGTCTTTTGCAGCCCCTGTGCATTATGTGTCTATCTAGAACCATTTCCAGCAGAGCCACCCCTGCAATAACTGTGCTAAGCAGGTTTTTTGTTACTTATATTTCAAGATGAGTAAACAGGTACAGAAAGGTTGAGTAATTGGCCCAGGATTAGTTAGCTATATAAAGTGCTGGAGTTTTAATCCAGGTCTATCTGATTTTGGACATTGAAAACCTGGGTATCCTTTTCTTTCTTTCTTTTTTTTTTTTTTTTTTTGATGGTACTGGGGTTTGAACTCAGGGTTTCACACTTGCTAGGCAGGTGCTCTACCACTTGAGCTACTCCATCGGCCTTTTTTTGTGTTGGCATTTTTGAGCTAAAGTCTCGAAAACTATTTGCCCAGGTTGGCTTCGAACCACAGTCCTCCTGGTCTCTGCCTCAGGAGTAGCTAGGATTGCAGGTGTGAGCCACTGGCACTCAGCGTGGGTATCTTTTCTCATGCTATAATTTAAAATGATGTTTTCTAATAAAACATTATGGACCCCCTCCCCCAAACAGCTGGGCATGGTGGTACACACCTGTGATCCTAGCATTTGGGAGACTGATTAATCAGGAAGATCATAAGTTCAAGGCCAGCCTGGGTTACAAAAGGAAAAATTTTATATTTGCTATTGAAAAGAGGAGCATAATGGGAGTAAGGTCAGTAGTGATACCACAACCAAACCACATTAATTTATAACATTTGGATGGAGACCCTTCTAGTTTTTTCTTAGGCATATATGTGTGTGTATTCACCCATGTACATTTTCTTCTTTTTTTTTTGTGGTACCAAGGTTTGAACTCAGGGCCTACACCTTGAGCCACTCCACCAGACCTTTTTGTGTTATGTATTTTTGAGATAGGGTCTCCCAAACTATTTGCCCCGGCTGGCTTTGAACCACAATCCTCCTGATCTCTGCCTCCTGAGTAGCTAGGATTACAGTCGTGAGCCAGCAGCACTCGGCTCACCCATGTAGATTTTCATGGGATTCTTATACAGCTTTTATTTTTTTTTTTTTGGTACTGGGGATCGAACCCAGGGCCTTGAGCATGCTAGGCAAGCGCACTAGCACTGAGCTACATCCCCAGTTCCACCCTTTATTTGATTAATTCATTTTTTTTGAGATAGGGCCTTGCCATGTAGCCCAGGCTGGCCTGGAACTTTTGATCCTCCTGTCTCAGTCTCCTGAATAGCTGGGATTACAGGGTGCTCCACCATGCCTAGCTCTCATGCGGTCTTTGTGAATATCTTTGATCTCTCCATCTAGCAGGGAGCAGTTTCTATCTTCCCTGTGTCTGTCCCAAGTGCCTGGTGCACAGTAGGTGCCCTCTAAGCACTGATGGTCTGATTGCAGGATCACACGGTAGAGAAGTGAAGACCTGGTGATCATTTCAGTTTTGCCACTTTGACAAGCAGTATGACTTTACTCTCTCATTTGAAAATAAAAACATTGGAAGAGATGACACCTGAGGAGGCAGTGCATGCTTCTCACCTGGAGAGGAGGGGAGGAGGAAACTGGGGCAGACTTCCTGGTGCAGGCTTTCCATCACTGTCTGGGGTGGGAAGGGGAGGACAGACAGATACACAGACATGGAGTATGATGAAGTGAGTCCCTTCACCACCACCCTTCCCAGAAGAGCCGATCAATGGTCATCTATCCAACTTCCCCCTTCACCCCTGGGGTCCTCCTGGGGGACAGTGATGATGTTGGGGTAGCACTTACCATATTCTGGGGCACCCCTGGCAGACAATAGCTTCTGTTTTGCTTATAGTAGACTTCTCCAACCGTCAGCGAGTGTTGAGAGCTCTCCACAGCCCACGGGGCCTCTGGGCAGGAGGACACACACACCTGGGAGCAGACAACATGAGAAGGGGTTGGTACCCAGGACCCTGGGGATATGTGGGACAGAGGCAAGTGTCAGGCTCTGACCTGTGGCGTGGGACACTGTAGGCTGCTCTGGATGGCTGTGATGATATTGGTGTTCAGGATGCAGCTGAAGATGTTGAAGTACAGGAGGTAAGGTTTATCTCTGCAGGAAGGGAAGAAGTGTGTACTTTAGTCAGGCATTGGGGAAGTGGGGGACTACTAGGGTTGCTGTCCTACAGTACAGTGGACTCTGCATGGCCTAGACAAGTCAGATCCAGCTCCTGGGCCCAGCTCAGGTATGGGAGACACCAGTGACTTCCCAGAGCAATTCACATCACAACAGTTAACAAGAGACCCAGAGCACTGATTGTGGAGTTTGATCCCCTCCTACTGGCTTTAGGACCTTAATCAAGTCAAGGGTCTCTCTATGTATAAAATGATAGTTCCTACTTCATGAGGCTTAAAAGTGTGTGTGTGTGTGTAAAGTATACTGCTTGCCTGGAACATAGTAAGTGTTACCTGAGAGTTATTTATATTTAATGGTTAATGTTATTAACCATTTCCTGTATATGGGGACTAAAAATAGCATCACTTCCGGAATCACAGAATCATCTTTGTGCCTTGGATAAGGAAATCAAAGCTCAGAGAGGTTGAGTAAGTTGCCCAGGGCCACACAACCAAAATTTAGCCAAGTTAGAGAGCTAAACAGTGATCTGTGATCTCTAATCCCACGCATTTAATGATTCTACACTACTTTCCAGTCCTGAGGGACTGTACTAACACAGCACCCTGGAGTGATTGGATTCCCGGAAGCTAAGAGTGGCAGGAACAACAGGGAAAGTGTGTGGAACACTCATGGCTCTGGTACCTGAGTTGAGGGGGTGCCTGCCCTGCCCTCACCTCCCTCCTGCCCCCCTTTTCCTGCATTTGTACTCACTTGTTCTCCCCTATCCCGCAGTAGGCCCCAGTGGAGTTCTTGGGGTAGAGGACTTGCCGAGGATCTCCATATACCCAGGCTGGAGACAGAGTCACACAGATGCATTGTGGGAGGGCAGGAACTTGGAGGGAGCAGCTATGGGGTAGTACCCACCAAGTGACTGCCCCTCATCCACAGTTCTGGACACCGGAAACTCACCTATGAGTCCCACCGCGATGTAACCCAAAATGAAGACCAGGAAGAGGACACAGCAAATGACATCTGTGCAGCCCCTGAGAGAGACATGGGAGTCTGGGGGTAGGGAAGATTGTGGGGAGGGGATGAGGGACAAGGTCTGCAGAGTTGGGGAATCCTGAAGAGTGGGTATCAGCAGGCTTTATTTATTTAAGAAACCCCTTTTTTCTGGGTGGGTACTTTTCTTTTGAAATACAACACCGAAAAGCACAACTTGGGCTGGGAATGGAGCTCAGTGGTAGAGGCTTGCTCAGTATTTGTGAGGCTCTGAGTTCAATCCCCAGCAGCACAAAAAACAAAATAAAACAAAAGCATAACTCAGAAGTACTTAGCTGGGTAAGTTTCCCCAATCACACCTGTGTAGCCAGTGCCTAATCAAGGCAGAATGTCCCCACTATCTGGAAGCCCCTGACATCTCTCCAGATAAAACAGTGCCCCAGGGGCTGCTCTCTCAGGGTAGGAATATTTCTTCTTTTACAAGTTTCTTACCAATACTTCAGCAAATACAAAGTAAAACTAGGATTGCACCCTCTTCTTCCAGGGCAGGGCCAAGAACTCACTTGTTTGTTTTTTTGAAACTACTTTTTTTATTAGCATACATTAATTGCACAGTGCATACAGTGTAATTTGAACAAATTCACCACCTCTACTGTTTTCTCTTAACCCCCTCTTGCCTCCCCACCTTTTTTTCAAGCTAGTGGGGTTCATTATCAACTCACCTGTTTTTGATGGGGCCTCGGAAGGAGGGGTCATATTTAGCTGGTTTCCCTGGAAGACATGGGAAGGAGTGTGGAGAATGAAACACTAAGGGTTTCTTCTCCCCAAATCCTGTCCCTGCCAGAACCCCTGGGCCCCAGCACCCTGCTCAGGACTAGCTGGCAGAAGGAGGAAATTGGGGAGCAGGAACGGTGGGATCCAGGCCTGTTCTGGATCAACAGCTGCCTGCTTGCCGGGAACTCTACCCAGGTGGCAGGTCCAGCAGGGCAGTGGTGCTTTTATGGGTTTCCAGCTCATTCCTCAAGGCCATCTGACTGGGAAATGGCCTTGGTCCCTTGTCCCCACCCTGGCCCGTTTCTCCTGAGGTTCTCTTCAGCTGAGATGTGGGATTCTTTCTCAGTGGCACTCCATTCCCCATCCTTATTCCTCTCCCCTCTGAATCCTGCTCAAGACTACCAAGATTCAGAGGCCCCTCAGGTCACAGCCTTCATCAGAGAGGCCCAAGCCCTATCTCCCCATTCTGACCATGGACAATGAAACAGGAACCAAAGGTGTCAGTCAACACCTTCAGAGCCTGGGGAAGGAGGGAGATAGGGGGCCTTGGAAGACCCCCAACTCCAAAGGGATATCAGTCTTTCGGGTACCACAGAGCTCTGGGCTGCCAGTCAGTGTGACACCTGAGCAAGCTGGCTGTCGAGACTGTGGCCATGTTCCTGTTCCTGGTCCTCCCTTAGTACATACAGGAGGAGGTGGGGCCAGGCAGCCAGGGTCCTTATGGGCACTCAGGAAGGAGGGTACTGGGCTGGGCTAGAGTCTGGGAAGGGGTGTGATCCATTCTCCCCAGGTGCCCTGGACTCTGTCCCACTATGGCTCACAGGCCTGAGATCAACGATTGATCTAAAACTGCTCCAGGAAGTCTTCTGGGGAGAGATTTTGCCCTTTCTCCTGTCTCCCACTGGACATCAACTCCACCTCCAGGAGGCCCCTCCCTCAGGATTACCTCCCCTCCAGACTCCAAGGAACCTCACAGGCAGGTGACAGCCCTCACTGCTCACGGTGATCCTGGAGACAGGGCCCCTGTTCCCTCTCTTCAGACCCCTAACCCCTACTCCTCAGAATCCCTGGGACAAACTCCCAGACCTTTTTCTTCCAGATTCAGGAAACAGGCTCCTTGCTCCCTCTCCCCTCAGGCCTCAACCTTCACAGGAACCCCAGAAAGTTCTGTCCTTATTCCTCATAGTACCCCAAACAGGCTTTGACTCCTCACTCCTAACAGAGAGCCTAAGGCATGCCCTAGCCTTACAGGGACCCCAGCAGGCAGTTCCCAGCAGCTCTGGGTCCCAGCCCCCCCCTCCTCAGAAACTTGACCAACCAGCACCTTGGCACCTTGCCTTTCAGAGACCCAGAGTCCAGGCTGGAACTCCTCCTCTGCTCAAGAGTCCCAGCCTCACCCCTTGCAGACTCTGCTGCACCTGATACTGGAGTTCTTGAGCCTTGAGTCTCAAGCCCCCTTGTCTCAGGACCCAAACCCTGCCACCTTTCATCCAGCCTTTATTTGCCAGGACCTTGCCCTCAGGGACCCAGAGTCCAGGCCTAAAATCCCCCCACCTCCCGCAAGAACACCAGTCACAACTCATGCACACCCAGACCTAGCTTTATCACACAAAGGCCCCCCAGCAGTGACTCCCAGAACCTGAGCCCCATTTTCCCAGGACTCCAATTCTGTCTCCTTCCATGGGGCTCCTGTTTCCCCAGCCCTCTCCTCAGGGACTAAGACACTCCTTAGTTCCTTTGCCTAGAGCCAGTCTCAGTCACCATGGCCTGCGGTGTCCAGCTTCCCTCCCTCCACACAGCCCCAGTCTCAGCCCCGTCTTACGTCTTAGTCTTACCGTAAGCCTTGTTCTCATTCTGCTTTCCCCCCATGGCTCAGTCTCCGGAGTGATTGGAGCCAGGGAGACCAGGCGTCCTCACCTGCAGCCTGCCCCGCCCTCCCACACGTCATAGCCCCACCCCCGCCTGTGGTCCTGACACACTCCAGTTCCTCCTGAGCTCCACAACTCCATGACCTGCAGCTCAGTTGCTTGAGCCCGGACCACTGGGAGTGCCATGGAACACAGTGGTAAGAACTTTGCAAAGAACCTCAACTGTGGCATACTCCAGCCCACACCCTCCTGACGAAAAATTAATGTTGAGCTCTGTCTTTACTGAAGCCCTTGACTAGACTCTGCTGCCGGTGCGGGCGTTCCCAGCCCTCCTTTTACTGGGCAGCTGCCCACAGCAACCACACCTCTCCAGCCTGCTTCCCACCTCACTCTGCCCCTTGGACCCACAATCCCTCTGGCTGTGTGCTTCCTCTTCGCCTTCTCATAATCACTCAGACAGTTTATTATCAAACCCAACATTTATTGAGAACAAAGAAAACCAGTTGGCATAGAGGCCCGATTTTAATTCATCGAATTTTAGTGAGGATGGGGACGGGGGTGGCCAGCCCTGAAGTCACGTTCCCAGGGAGGAACCAGCTCTGGATGAGGGGCTTTCAGACCTCCAGGGCCTGGCTGGGGTCTCTGGTCAAGGAATGTGTGAAGGGCAGTGGGCAGAGGTGGCAGTGCCCCCAGGCCTAAGCTGTGAGCAGCGAGTGGCAGAGGCCGTTGCCGAGCTGGTGGCCACCAGGCAGGGAAGGGATGATGTGGTCCATTTTCAGGTGTTGACAGGGGGCAGGGAGCCGAGCTCGGGCAGCAGTTCAGGGTGAGGGTCTAGGCGAGCCAGCCGGCTCTGCTCCAGGGCAATGGCCTCAGCTGAGTGCTTGCACTTCTCAGAACCACACTGGCAGGTGAAATATTTGCTTTTAATGTCCCAGAAGCGGTCACCATAGTCAAACCTGTCAGAAGAGCACAGGAACTTGTGGGACTGGGACTCAGCCACCCAGAGTCCACCCCAGAGACCCTGTGGACGTCCCTTTCCAGGAAGGACCTAGGCCCTGACCCTTATCTCAAGATGAACCCTAAGCTCTTGTAGATTCCAGGGACTTGAAGCTTTGTGGCACTGTCTCAGAAACTTATTAGAAATGCAGGCTCCCAGCCTAGTGGAATCAAAATCTCTTGAGGCTCAGGGTTGTTTTTTTTTTTTTCCCTTGGTGAGCCAGGGATTGTGCCCAGGACCTTGAGCATGCCAGGCAAGCACTCTTATCACTGAGCTACATCCCCAGCCCTTTTAAAAATGTTACTTTGAGGTAAGGTCTTGCTAAATTGCCCAGGCTGGCCTCAAACTTGTGGTCCTCCTGCTTCTGCCTCCCAAGTGCTGGGATCACAGGCATACACTACCAAGCTTGGCTGGACTCAGTTTTAACAAGCCCTGCAAGAGGCACTTATGCACACTGAAGGCTGGGGAGCTCCCTCTGATCCCTGCCTGGAAATCAGGTGTCTCCAGCCTTCAGGCTCCAGGCTTACTGATCTCACAACCTTGGCAGAGCCCGGGACGCCTCACCCTAGCTCCTCCCCAGTCCGGATGTCCCGGGAACTGAAGAAGGCAATACGTGGAAACCGAAGGTCTTGGTGCAGCATGAAGACACGGACAGGGATGATGTTAGGATCACACAGGTGATTGATGAAGCGGCTGATGTTGCCATAGTAACGGGCATCGATGCAATACACTTCTCCATCCTAAGGGAAGGCAAAGGAGGGCTCGCTTCACATCTACTCTTTTTTTTTTAAAATTTGGTGGTACTGGGATTTGAACTCAGTAACTCACGCTTGATAGGTAGGTGCTCTACCAGCCTCACATCTACTCTTATCCTACCTGCCTGGCCAACCTCCTGGCACTGACCACACAGTCCCTCCACCCAGGATTCCACCTGCTGACTTCCTAGGGAGCTCCAGAAACTCATCCACTGGGAACAGAGGGGACACAGGGGTCACCTGCTCACCTTGTTGTCTAAGTCGAAGAGGTAAGAATCATCCTCTCTGACATCGGCTTCAGCATCGGAGATCAGCTCCCCAACATACCTGTTGGATAGGAATTTTGGTTCTGAAGGTGAGCAGTTGTTGGGAGGCAGATCCTGGCCCCATCTCTCCTCACAACACCACTCCTCTTCTGCTGCCCATCACTGTCTATGAAAATGTCACCACTGTGGCTTTGGTGGGTGATCCAGGGCAGAGTGAGCCCAGAGAGCAAACCTCGCCTGGGAGGGGCAGTGTCAGGAGGAGGAATGAGGGATGCTGGCATGTGAGGGCACACAGGACACAATCCTGCTTGTTGGGGTGCCCACTGGACAGTTAGAATGACAGGCAGGACTGGAAGGTGTGGGGAAAGCCTGGAGGCTAGTGGGGCCAGCAGACCTGCAGAAACAGTAGCAGGAAGTAAAAGGGCAGGGTTTGCACGTGCGCAGAGACAGATGTCAAGCCTCTGTGGTTAGGTGATTAGTATCCAGGGGCAGCTGGTGGGGAAGTTAGCTTGGGTTTAGACAGTGGGAGGTTTGTGTACTAGGAACCATCCAGCAGGTGGTAGCAACAAAGAGGCAGGAGAAGGGCTGGGCTGCAGGAAGAGGGAGGATAAGGAACTCCAGGAGGAGCTAGGATGAGGGCACCCATGAGTGTACAGCAGGATGGGCAGGGTGAAGGTGAGGGCAGCATCACAGAGGCCAGGCAGTCTAACTGGGGTGGACAGATGCCAGGGGAATGAGAACTGAGTTGTGGTAGGGATGCAAGTAACTACAAAAAGTAGCATCACCAGAGAGGAAGGACAAGGGCAGGTGTTAGCAGGCACAAGCAGTAAGCAGATGATGGGGAAGCCGAGTCCCAGCAGGAAGGGTCTACTTGTGTGAGAAGCTGAAAGGACATGATGGAGAGAAACTGGATGGGCCTCTGAGAAAGACCTTGATAAGTTTGATGGCCAGGCACAGGGAGGCAGCGGGGAGGGGGAAGATTATGGATGTTGAGCAGAGAAAGAGTTGATGAAGGACAGGCCCATAAGGACTGAAGGGTAGCTACTATCATTTCCATTTTATAGACAAGAAAAATAAGGCTCAGAGAGGCTAAGTAACTTGGCCAGAGACACACAGCAGCAGCAGAGTTGGGGCTCAAGTGAAGGTCTGTCTATGTCTAAAACTCCACTTGGTCCAGTTAGGAAGATCACGGAGGCTGTGTGGGAAGGGAAGACAGGGCAGTGGTGATGGGTGGCTCAAGTTGTGGGAAGAGTGGAGGCAGCTTCTGTTCTCAGCTGAAGGGCAGAGGTCAGGAGGAGGCTTGGGAGTCACCCCACCAGTTGCCAAAATACCCCGAGCTGACTCACTCGCAGATGAAGGTCCCCTGTGGGATGGTCTGCAGGGCGCGGACCCCCCAGCCCATCTTGGCTGTTCGGTAGAGCTGCAGTCGCACCCTAGGGGTGAAGAGGGGGTATTACTGGGTGAAGTGTACTGGGGAAGGGAAGGCAGGGTGACGGGTTGCAGGGAGGGTGCCTTACTTGATGCCACTCTGCACCACGCGGTTTTTGCAGTTTCTCCAGCAGGAGCAGGCCTGGTTACACTCAAAGATTAAAGGGGGCTCGATCTTGTTAAATTCCTGCAGCAGCCGCCCATCCTGGGGTGCAGAGGGAGGACAATGGTGTCAATGTGAGGCCCACCTCAGCTGCCTAGGGCCCACCAAAACTCCACAGGAAAATTCACTGCTGAATCCAACCCAGAGCAGGTAGGAGAGGTGTGAGGGAGGCCGAGGCTCTGAGGTCAGAGACCAGGAAATGCATGGGCCTCAAACTGGATTTGCATACACCTGGGCAGAGGCCCAGCTCTGTCCTGGCAGCGTCCCAGGAATCTTCAGTCTTGCTCTGCCCTCTGTCACTTCCTTCAGAGGGCAGATGAGGAAGAAGGTCCCAGGGAGTTGGTGCTAGAGGTTAGCTCTTCCACAGGGGTGGCCAAGTCTAGAGGTTAGCTCTTCCACAGGGAGGGCCAAGTACCAGTGACCAGGCTAGGGGCACGCACCTTGTCATACCAGCAGCGGATGCTGAGTTGGCCACACAGGCAGTTGGAGCTGGAGCAGTCATCCACACACGTGCAGTGCTGGGGTGGAGGTGGAAGTGAAGGCCTATTGAATCTCTGTACCTGCCTTGGTCTCTCAGCCCCAGTGCTCCCTGCCATTCAACAACTGTCCTTTCTCCGGGGTCCATGTTTTAGGACAGTGGTTGGTGATGGTCCCAGGATGGGTGGGGGGATCCAGACGTGGCTGGTAAGGGTGTCCCCAGGGTCACCATGAGCTCATATGCATGATACTCTCATGTGACCTAGGAAAAGAGCCTCTTCCTGAGTGGAGACAACCCCCTCCAGGACTCCCAAGCCCCCACTCCATCAGCCAGGTGCCTTTGTTGGCTGCAACTTGCCCAACTGTATTCACTGGCTCTGGGTGTCTTTTTGTTGGGCTCAGGACCTGTCACTCACCTGCAGGTGGGTGATGTTTCGGTCAATGTTCATGGTGGATGTCTCACAGTTCTCTGAAATGTACTTGTAATCCTCGGGGCAGGGCTCCCCATCCACACCATTGACACAGGGAATGGGCACGTTCTCATAGCCCCGAGCCACATCCCTGCAAGAGAAGAGAGACAGGGCTAGGGACGGGGAAAGGGGCTCCCCTAGATAAAAGAGGGCTAGGGATGTTCCTTATGCACAGGGAAGGAGAGGTTCTGGGGTTCAACAGGGTGTAACGAGTAAGGATGCCAGATAAAATGCAGAATATCCAGTAAAATTTGAATTTCAGACTAATAAGGTGTAACATTTTATGTCCCAAATACTGCATGGACAGTCTTAAACTATGAATCTGTTCATCTGAAATTATCCTTTTTGGGTGCCAGGGTCTATGCTGCTTAGGGTGTCTTCAAACTCCTGGGTTCAATGAATCCTCCTACTGCAGCCTCCCTAGTAGCTGGGATTACAGGTGCCACTTGACTCTCATCTGAAATTCTAACCTCACTGGGTGTTTTTTTTTTTTTTTTTTTAAAGATAGGGTCTTGCTATTTGTCTAAGCTTGCTTTAAACTTGTGATCTTCTTGCCTCACCCTCCCTGGTACTGAGATCACATGTCCTCTATTTTTATTTGCTATACTTCTCAACCCTATTGGGAGGGCACTAGGAGTTCTGGGCACTCAGTGGGGCATGGGGAGGGTCTTGGGGATATTCTGTGGGGAGTGGGGCCAGGGAGGGGCAGTGGCGCTCTGGGTGCGGGCCCAGCTCACCTGCAGATGATCTTCTCAGTGCGGATGGCCCGGTTTCCCACCCCCAGCCGCAGCTTGCGGTTGAGCTGGAGTGCAAACCACACATCAGAGCGCTCAGGAGTCAGGTCCCACGCCGTGTCTCCCTCCTTGTTCCGAAGCTCAGGGTTGGCTCCGCGTGACAGGAACAACCTGGGGAGGGGACAGGAAACTGTGCCTGGGGTCTGGGGCTGTGGTAGGTGGGGCAGGGGTGCCAGGGTCAGGGCAGGCGGGGGCTCACAGCACACAGTCATGGTAGCTCTCCCGGGCTGCAATGTGCAGGGGCGTGTCCCCGTGGTAGTTGACAGCATGGAGGTCGCAGCGGGCGTTCAGGAGGACCTCAGCAATGGCAGCACTGCCGGTGAAGGAAGCCCAGTGCAGGCAGATGTTTTCCTCCTGTGGAGATGAAGGGAGATGGGGCGTGGGCTGCTGAACCCTTGAACCCAGCCTCCACTTAGCTCAGGGGCCTGGGCTGTGTCCACGTCCTCCCAACCCTGACCAGTCTCACTCACATTGTCAGTGAGGGTGACATCGGCGCCCCGTGTCAGCAGCATGCGGATCACATCGATGTGCTTGTGCTCTGCTGCCCAGATGATGGGCGTCCACCCCCCACTGTCCTGTGGGTGGGAGGGTGGAAGGGACTGAGGAGGGGCCTGAGCCTGCTCACCAAAATGCAAATAATCAACAGCACACATCTACAAGCTCCGGACTTTGGGTAAGTAGGCCTCAGTTTCCTCATCTATAAAATGGGACTTACGGTTCTTAATAACCTAAGGATGCAGAGAGAAGTATTTTTTCTGGGTGGTACAAGGGTTTGAACTAAGGGCCTCATGCATGCTAAGCAGGTGCTCTGCCTCTTCAGCCATGTTTCTAGCTCCTTTTGCGTTCTCACATTTTTTGCCCAGGCCAGTCTGGACCATGATCTTTGTATTAACATTTCCTGCTTAGTTTTGATTACAGGCATGTAACAACACACTCAGTTTTTTTGGTGAGATGGGGGTCTCACTAACTTTTTGCCTGGGCAGGCCTTGAATCACTATCCTTCCAATCTCTGCCTCCCAAGAAGCTGGAAATACAGGTGTGAGACACCGTGTCTACCCTAAATTTTCTTTTTCTTGGCAGAACTAGTTTGAACTCAGGGTCTTGTGCTGGCTAAGCCATTGCTCTACTTGAGCCACACCACCAGCCCTTTTTATGCTTTATTTATTTTTCAGGTAGGGTCTCACTTTTGGCAGTACTGTGTTTTGAACCAAGTGCTCTACCACTTGAGCCACACTTCCAGCCAGGATCTCAGTTTTTGCCTGGGGCTGGTCTCAGACTGAGATCCTCCTACCTAATGCCTCCCACACAGCTGTGATTTCAGGTATGCACCAACACCCATCTTGTTCGAGTGGGGTCTTGCTAGCTTTTTGCCTGGGCTGGCCTCAAACTGCAATCCTCCCAATCTCTGCCTCCTGAATAGCTGGTATTGCATGAACCAATGCACCCAGCCCTAATTTTTCTAAAACATCCATACTTGCTGGGTCTGACCACTCAAAAGTCCTAGAAGCAGTTACAACCCAGTAGCAATAAACAACTACTGGTACATAGATTGTACTCTCTACAAATATTTCCCATGGAAAGGCACTGGAGTTTCTTAAAAAAAATGGTAGCTTCTGCAGCTAGGGTAGGAAATATACTGAAGTCAGGATGCTGTCAAAGGCTGTGGGTCAGGTCAAAGGTCACAGGAGCCTATGTCAAGGGGCTCCTCCTCAACTAAAGGGAGACATCCCAAGACGGAGAATGACAACAGCAAACTAAAATATAGCTAACATGTGCAAACCCAAGAGTTCATAGAAAACCTCACTGCTCACATTCAGAGACTGAGACAGGAACTCATTATTCTGAAAACCAATAAAAAGAAAGGACAAGGAGAAACACAAATGAAGAGGAAGGAGATGGGGACAGATACAAGCAGCATGAGGCACAAAGCAAAAGGGCCAGAGATGAGGAAGGAGGAGCCCCAAATCCTTGGGCATGCAGCCCAGGCCACTCACCTGGGCATTGACGTCCACCTGTCCCGTGCTTAGCAGCAGGCTGACCATCTCTAAGTTGCCGATTTTGGCTGCATGGTGGAGGCAGGTGGAGCCATCCTCCTCCTGAGGGAGACACAGGCAGATAAGCCTCTGGTTGGCACCCCAAACCCAGGGAATGGGTGGTCATTCCCTGCTGCCCACCTGGCTAGCGCACCTTGCTATAGACACAGCCGCCACGCTGCACCATGTAGCGTGCCACCTCCAGGTGGTTGTTCACCACGGCCTCCATCAGTGGCGTCCGCTGTTGCTTGTCCACTGCATTGATGTTGGCTCCAGCCTGTGAGGAGGGGGCATGAGGGTGGCACGAGGGAGAGGCTGGGCAGGGGAGGGGTCAAAGGGCCTGGTTAGTGAGCGGAGGGCTGGGCCCGTGCTGACCTGCAGCAGCACATGGCAGATCTCCACGGAGCCCTTCTGGGCGGCCGCGTGCAGGGGTGTGCGCTTGCTCTGTTGGTCGCTCTGGAAGTTGGGGTCCAGGTTGTCCACTGCGGGGAGAGCCCGCCACACCGGAAGAGGGAGGGACAAGTGGTAAGCAAGCTAGGGGCGGATGGCGCCTCCTCCAGGAAGGCTTCTTAGGACCCCCTGCTGTGCATTCTCTGTGCTGGCCTCCACCAGGGCACTCAGCAGAGAATGAAGAGTGCAGAGTACTGGGCCCCTCAGCACCACTGTGTGCTGGAAAAAGTACTTGGCCTCTGGGCCTCCACACGGAAGGTTCAAGTGAGCTAACATGTACAAACACTCAAAACAGCACCCAGCATCTGTGTCACCACCGTCCCATCATCACAGGTATGTGCCATTCCCCACCATACTAAGTCCTCCATGAAAAGGATGGTGGCTTTTGTGGCTGTGCTCCTGGACTGAGCCCAGCACTGGGCATAAAGTTGGTGCTCGGTGAAGCTGCCAAGCGGCACTTACACAGCATCAGGATCACCTTCTGCAGCTCCCCCTGCTTCACTGACAGGTACAACTGCCGGGGGTGGAAACGGAGCTTCTTCCGCCTGCCGGGGGAGGAAGGGGTAGAAGGTAGGATGCTCAGATTTGAGCATCGGCTGCAACACCTGCTCCTCTGGACCCAGCCCTGGCCACGGACCTGACAGCAACATGTACTCACCTCTCAGACTCCTGGATGACCAGGGCCTTCTCCAGGGCCTCTCGGCCTGGCCCAGGTGGCAGCCCCACAGCTGAGAGGCAGCCTCCATTGGGTAGGGTCAGGGAAGGCCCAGAGCTGTCGATGGTGTCAGCTAGGGGATCACAGGGTGGGCGCCGGGGCTCTCCATGCCCTCGCATCCGGGCACTGTGGGAGGAGGTTTTGATGTCTGGGAGCAGGAGGGATAGGGTGGGGAACAGACAGTAGGAAAGGGGGAGAGTAATACCTGGGCTGTGAAGTATCTGCTCTCCCTGGGGCGTCCTGCGCCAAGGGTGGGGGTGCAGGGGTTGCTGTGCCAGTTGGGGGGGTTCCCCCATCACCCCTGGGGATGGTCACCTCCTGGGCCTCAGAAGCATCTTCTCCACAGTGGGGACAGAAGACCATCCCATTGAGCTGGGACACACAGGCCTTATGGAAGCGGTGGGCCACACGAAAGTCTGGGTGGCATTCCAGGAAGGTGCCCTGGGGCAGGGAGAGGATGTGGTCAGGCTCCAAGAGCCCTCCATTGTGGGCAGGCCACCTGTCTGCCCTGCCAGTCACTCACCGCCGTACAGAAGTAGCCACAACCTGGGCAGCAGTGGTGTTTGACCATGCGGGCGCGGTGGGTCTCACAGAGCACCATCAGTGCCACACGGCTAGAGGGCCTCATAGTTTCCCGTTTGAGGATGGCAGCATTGCAGCCTGATAGCTGGGGGCCGCAAGGATGGGCAAGAACAGAGGATGAGACTGAGGCCTGGGACTGGCCCTCCTTGGCACCTCTCCCACCATCCTTCAGGCCCACCTCTCCGTCCACACTCTCGGTGGCCATGCATTTGTGCCCTGCTCTCTCGCTGATGCGGTCAATCTTGGGCGCCTCCATGCGGCAGCTGCAGAGGGGCAGCTCCTCAAACCCACGCTCTGTCTCCAGTGAAGATGTGTCATTGGACACCCCTTGGACAGAGGAAAAGAGGGAGCTGAGGAGGCCTTGCCCCTCACCCACTGGGAGGGTCCTCTCACTCCCACCCTATCTCTCCCTCCATGCTCCAGAACCCCAAAGCCTGGCATGGACACCCCATACTGGCAGGGCTTCCCTCCTCCCCATACCCTCCAGTCCTTGAGGGTGCCCCCTAGTGGCTCCCTGTCCCAGCAATTGGCAATTACCAGCGTGGTTGGGAGAGAGGGTCCCCTCGCTGGGCAGCTCCAGGGACCCCAGAGGGACCTCCATGTACTCACTGGGGCCTGAGGAGCCCACACCATTCACTCCTGACACAGAGACAGAGAGAGTGAGAGTGCGAGCTCACAGGCCTGGACGCGTTGGCACATGCGGTGAACATGCATAAGCGTGTGTACGAGCGTGCTCTCTGGGGCTGGGTTGGGGGGCTGGAAGAGGGGACCCAAGAGCAGAGGAGCCCCCTTACCTCGTGGCTCCTTAGTCCGTGGAGGCTCCCGCTTCCGCCGTTTCCGAGATGGCTTCACCCAGGGGCTGTCCTTCCGCCACTTCTTCTTGGCCTTGCGCCGGCCACTAGAGCCACTCTGTGGAAGAGGGAGAGTTAGGGGTTCTGGCCACCCAGCCCCACACCTTCCCATTACTCTGGAAAGGCCAGCCTCTGGTGTTACCCTATCTGACTGATTGCCTGACTCCTCATCTTCCTCTTCTTCTTCCTCTTCTTCCTCTTCCTCCTCTTCCTCCTCCTCTTCCTCTTCCTCCTCTTCCTCCTCTTCACTTAGCTGTTCAGCCAGAGCTTCAACTTCAGACTAGGGGAGAGGAAAATGGGGCTGGGGAAACAATGACCCCTGGGGCCACAGCGTTCTCCTGGGGAGAACTTGGCAGAGGTAGAGCAGAACATAGCTAAGCCCCATGACTCAGATAGTGTGACAGAAAGAAAACTTTGACCACCATGGCTACCCAGGGAAGATTCCCTGGAGAAGGTGAATGTGGGCAGGAAAGAAGGGAAAGGGCTGGATAAAGACAGGGGCATAGAATACTGTACAGTCTTGAAAAAAGGTGTTACAGTTACATACAACAATGTGTGTAGCTCTGGGCAAAGCAATAAGGAAAGAAAGCAAATTCCAGAAGATAAACACATGGTGTGATACTGCTTCTTTGAAGTCATAAACAGGTAAGATTACGAATGACTGCTAAAAATACTAGATGAAAAGTTAATGAGGCACTCTGTAATGAAGAGGTCAGGCTGACATCACCTGAACCCACTAGGTCAATGTTAACGTCACTGGCTTTCGAGAAATGTTTAAATGTAATGCAACAGGAAGCACACACCCACTTTCAAGTCTTCTTGCCAAAAAAACAAAACCAAACACCTCCCCCCCCACCGAAAACAAAGGGCATCTGAAGTTAATCACACTTCAATAATTTAACCAGAGGAATGTGTCAATCTCAACCCAACCAGCCAACTCCCAAGTGTGAGAGATTCTGTAGGACAACTGACTTGGTTTCTTCAACAAATAAACAGTGAGAAAAAGGTGTTTTTAGGTAAGGGAACCTGTATATTAAGTCTAAGACAAATGTCAGTCCAGTCAATGTATGGATCCCACTTGGATCTTTCCAAAATTATTTCTGAAATAAACGAGAAATGTGAAGACTAACAGAATGTTTGATGGCATTAAGGAATCATGGAAGCTGGGCATGGTGGCCTCCAGTCCCAGCTACTCAAGAGGCCAAGGCAGAAGGATCACTTGAACCTAGAGTTTGTGACCAGTCTAGCAACACAGTGAGACTCCATATTAAAAAAAATAAAGAAAAAAGTCATTGGTAAGTTTTTTTTTGCATGTGAAAATAGTAATGTCAGGCTGGAGGTGTGGCTCAAGTGGGAGAATGCCTGCTGTGCAAGTTTGCAAAGCCCTGAGTTCAAACCCCAGTTCTACCCTCCCCTCAAAAAAAAAAAAAGTGATAGTGTATTTACAGAAACAAAGAAACCTTATGTTGAGATATGCATATGGAAATATTTCTGTATGAAACATGATGCCTGGGATTTGCCTTGGAATACCTCAGCCAGTGTGTGTGTTTGGGGAGGTATGCGTGAATGGCTATGTACTGCTACTCACTACAGCTAGATGATAGGAGCTCACCATTCTCTTTTGCTTATACTTGAAAGTTTCCACAATAAAACATTCAACAAAAAGTACAATACCAAGACTACAAATTACAGTGCATAGGCAAACATATGAGATAAAAACAAACAAGAAACAAGACAAGGAGCAAAGAAAGCAACCATAAACTTGGTGGGCAGGGACAAGGGACGGAATGGGATGGAGCACACACTAGAAATAGTTGTAGATGGCATGGGACAGTGAATTGGAAGGGGTTCAGAAAATAAAAAGGGAAGAAATAAAAAGAGGGAGAACTGGAAAGACTGGAGAGTGAGCCCTGGACCTGAGGCACTCTGGCTCACCTTGCTGTCAGAGTCCACCCGCTCATCCACAGAGTAGGAGTCATAGTAGAGACTGAAGTCATCACCCACCACCGTCTCCCACTCCTCCAGGGACCTGGGGTTCCCCTTCTCCAGGGTTACTTCTCCTGAACCCCGAGCAGAACCCAAGTCCTCTGCCTAGAAAAAGATGAGAAAACTTGAGGCTGCTGGCACTTCCCATCAAGCCTTACTTCCTGAGGACTGGATGTAACCTCAAATCCTAAGGTTCCATGAAGTAGCCCCCCAGATGGAGAGGCCTTGCCTCTCAGGCTCACCAGACCACCTCCAGAGTTTAGCTTCCTCCTTTTGGCCACATCTGGAAGGAGAGAAAGGAGGACTATACTCTAATCCCCAGGACAAACCAAGTCACAGAGAGTAGGGAGTGGGACTGACCTGAAGTCATCTTCCCCAGGGAGTGCACGTCATCACTCATGCGGAAATGCTGCACTTCTGGGGGCCGCTTCTCAGGGACTGGGGGCTGAAGCAAGAGGAAACAAGTTTAGGGTTAGAGAGCACCTATGGTTCTGCCTGGATTATCCTGGAGCCCAGGTGAGAGTGACATGGTAAGCTAAACTTCAAAAATGCCACCTGAAGCATTTTTGCTTCAGTGGCTCAGCCCTGGTGGCTCACCCCTGTAATCCCAGCTACTCAGGAGGCAGAGATCATGAGGATCATGGTTCAAAGCCAGCCCAGGCAAATAGTACATGAGACCCTATCTCAAAAAAAAACAATACAAAAATAAGGTTGGTGGAGTGGCTCAAGTGTCAGAGCGCCTGCCTAACAAAGCCTAGCAAGTGTGAGGCCCTGAGTTCAAGCCCCAGTACCATCAAAAAAAAAAAGCCACCTGAAGCTCCAGAAACAACAATAAGACATGCTATTTCCCAAAGGGAGGTGTATCCTACACCTCATACTCACTTATCTTCCCATTTTACAGATGAAAAAACAAGCTCAGCAAGGTTAAAGGTTCTTTGTACACCTATGTTCATAGCAGCATCATTCACAAAAGCTGAAACATAGAAGTCATCCGATGTCCACTGACAGATGAATGACAAGCAAAATGTAGGACAGACTGGTACAAACAGGTATACCTGTATGTAGATACCTCTGTATCCACAGGTTCCACATATGTGAAGTCTGTACGGAACACATACAGGCCCTTTTCTTGTCATTATTACCTAAACAATACAGCATAAAAACTGTATAGCACTCACATCGTATTAGGTATTACAGATAACCTACAGAGTATTTTTTTTCTCTTTTTTTTTGGCAGTACTGGGGTTTGAATTCAACTCTGAATGCTTGCTAAGAAGGTGTTCTATCACTTGAGCCACTCTATCAGCCCCTTTTTGTGTTGGATATTGTATTTTATTTTTTTGTGGTACTGAGGTTTGAACTCAGGGTCTACACCTCGAGCCACATAACCAGCCCTTTTTTGTGATGGGTTTTTTCAAGATAGCATCTTTTGAACTGTGTGCCTTGGGAAGACTTCAAACTGAGATCCTCCTGATCCCTGCCTCCTGAGTAGCTAGGATTACATGTGAGAGTCACCAGCACCCAGCATGATGGGTATTTTAGAGATAGGGTCTTGCAAACTACTTGCCCAGACTGGCAATCTCAACCTCCCAAGTATCTAGGATTAAAAACATGAGCCACCAACACCCAGCTGGAGAGGATTTAAAGTACAAAGGAAGGTATGTGTAGGTTACATGTAAATGCTACATCATTTTATATGGGGACTTGAGTAAACAAGGACTTTTGTATTACAAGAGATCCTGTAATCAACCCCTCCCTGGATACTAAGGAAGTATGTACAACTGAATACTACTTAGTCTTAAAAAGAAAATTCTGACGTATGCTACAACGTGGAGGAAACAAAAATATCATGCTAACTGAAATAAACCAGTTACAAAAAGAAAAATACTGTATAATTATACTTAGATGAGGTACTTAAGAGTAATCACATTCCTAGAAACAGAAAGAAGAACAGTGGATGCCAAGGGCTGAGTGGAGGAGGGGATGGAATTATTGTTTATTGGATATAGGACTTAAGTTTTACAAGATGAAGAGTTAAGAGAATTGATAATTGCACATTATGAATGTATTTAATACAACCTAGATGAGAAACTCTGTTTATATTCTACAATAAAAAATATTGGAAAAAGAGTCTTTACTCCCATTTCCTGTATGGGGAGCAGGAAATGTCCCCCCCACCCCATTGCTCCCCTTTTTTTATCCTGTTATGCTAAATTTCTTTTCCTAATAAGCTTTACTATAAAAAATAAATTGAAAAAGACCTTGACCGGGGCTACTCAAACCACACCCAGAACAAAGTGATACCAGACTTTTAAAACCTTGTCATAAAGCTTCTTGAGATTCTGAGGCCTTTTGTCATTTCCCTCCTCTGCCATTTCTGTGGCTGGATCTCCTTCCTGGCAGAGATTCCCAGTAAAAACTTTACAAATGGAGTGGGAGTGGTTTCAAAGAACGGATGAAAAAACTCCCTTAGGACTTGTTTTGAGGTAGAAAAGAAGAATGGTAGAAAGTTCCTTTATAGTCATTATCATAAGAGTAATTAGGACATTAACTATATAATTAACTCTCCACCATCTGTCAGTCTCTTCCACTCTTACCATCCCTCCCCTAAGAGTATAAATACCAGGAAGATAGGAGTCTGTTTATTCACAAATTAAGCCTACCCCAATATCTGACACACAGTAGCCCTCGGTAAATCTGAGAATGTGAATGTGGTAAGAAGGGGCCTGAGGCTAAATTGTAAGGGGGAGGTGAAGAAAGCCCATGAAAAGTTCACTCTCATCCTCACCTGTCCATTTCCAGGTTTGGACATGGTTTTCCGAGCTCGGTGAACCTTGGGTTGACTCTCAGGACTGGCGGTGGCTGGAGGGGGTTCAGGCCCTGCTGCTGCAGTTCCTTGGGCCCCCGGCATACTCAGCAGCCTCATAGCCAAACTCTGGACCGATGGGGGTGATTTTCCTGCTCCTGTCATTGACATTTTGGCACGGCTGGGACAGGCACCCCCCTTGCTGGGGGAAGAGGGGAATGACTTTGTGGCATGGCCTAGAAAAGAGACAGGCACGTAGAAAAAATCAAGGTAAGAAGGAAGGCAGAGTCAGAAGACTCCCCCCCATCCCCCACCCACTGCCCAGCCTCTTACCTAGCAGAATTCGGCCCCCATCTCCCTCCAGATTCTCGGGTTCGTCTCCAATGAGCGGTGTGGCTCCTACAGGAGTGTCAGCTCCCTCATCGCCGACGGTGACAGTGACAGAGGCCGGAGATGAGGGGCCAGCAGGTTCCAGGGAGTCAGGGTTGGCCTTGGGCTGGGTCTCCTCGGTATGAGGGATGTCCCCTAAAGAGCCATGAACTGTAAGGGAAGAGAAAAAGTTCAGGGCTAAGGACCAGGGGGATCCTGTGTTAGGAGAGGCTGTAAGTCCAGCTGGGCCTGTTTCTGCCACACTTGCCTCTTTCCGTAGCTCCTCTGTGCTCCTTTTCCAGCAGTAGCGCCCCCATCTCAGCAGGGGCCTCCCCCTGAGTGGGGAGACAAGGAACAGGAGGGCTGGTCAGCCCAGCAGGCAGTTGGGGGGCCCAAGACGCCTGGGCCCTAGGAAGAGAGAGCAGGCTCCGGGGCCTACCTCTTCCTCTATGAGGACCCCCCCTTCCTCGGCCTCGACTGCCTGGAGGGGCCGCACGACCCCTCCCCCGGGCCCGCATCAACCCCCGCCCTCTCGGTAGACCCCGCATCTCTGGGGCCGAGAGGAGAGGAGGGGGAGGGGGCGGGGCCTCCGCGCCCCGGCCCCGCCCCCTCCTCCCGGCTGCACGCGCCGCTCCCCCTTTGTCCCCCAGGCCGCGGGGACCCCGGGCACCAACCCCTCCAGCACCCGCTGTCCCCCAGCCCGGTGGACGGCCCCTCGTGCCCCTCGCGCGTGCTCCTGGGGCTCCGGCGCCCGCCGCCCACTCAGGGGCAGCCGGCGGCTGCACGCGCGCCTCCGTGCCCACTCCCCCCACCTCCCACCCCCTGGTCCCCTCATCCGCCCCCGGTGCTGGCCCCCTGGATTGCTGCAAGTCCCGCTCGGGCCCCCCGGCCCCGTTGCACCCCCGGAGCATTGCACGGGTGCGCGCTTCCCCCGGGCGCGCGCGCGGGCATGCACCCGCCTCTCCCCCTCCCCTTCCGCACCTCGGCGGCCGCCGCCGCTGCAGCTCCCGCCGCCGCCGCCATCGCCGCTTGCGCGGGGGGCCGAGCCGGCGCGCGGCCGCCCCGGGTCACGTGGGCGAGAGAGGGAGGGCGAGCAGGGGCCTTAAAGGAGCCGCTGCGCGCATTCTGGCCATTTTCCCCCGAGAGCGGCCTCGAGACGGCAGCGGCTATCCTAAGCTGGGGGCTGCAGGGGAGAGTTCCTTCATGCCCAGCCTCAGCTCTGCAGGGAACCAAGGGTGAGGCATGCTTGGATCCAGGTGTGGCTTCTCTAGCCTCACCGGGTTTTGGTGACCAGTAGTGGAGCGTCTGAACCTCCTGTCTCGGCAGCTGCTGTATTTGTTTGACCCACTCGTGCTTCTCCCGCCTCTTGATTTTCTCTTTCTAGTTTCTGGGACATCCGACAGAAGGCTTGGCCTCAGTTTTGGCCTCGCCTTTCAAACGAGCAAGAAGGGGGCGACAGGGACGCGCGGAAGTCACCTCTTTTATCTTTTACTCTTAGCTAGTTCTAGCGTGCTGCTTCATGTCTCGTGGAGCAGCGTCCTTTTGAAAATCTGGGGCCAAATGTGCTCCTGCTTATGCCAGACGTATTACTCGGCCACATGCGCTAGAGATTCAGGTAAATGAAGCGGCTGGAGTGACTACTGTCTGGTGACACTTTGTAAGTAAGTAATCATTTTGCCAAACATTTCAGAAGCAGTCAGGCCCACTCAGTGGGTAGTAGCCCAGCTGACAATTTAAATATGAGTGATACACACCAAGATACACAATCCTGATACGGTCCTTTTAGGTACTACATCTTGGTCAAAGTTTAGAAATAACTGCATGATTTCGCATAGTTTTTGACACTAGCAGGTGGTTAGGTTATGGGGCCCCTGAGGCCACAGTCTTCTGGGAACTGTAGTTCTCTTTGACATGAACTTTCCAGAGCTTTCTGGGAATTGTAGTCTTTCTTGCACCCTAATGCAAATTTAGCGGTTTTTGGTTTTCCCAAAGATGTGAACTATGGTAAAGACAAAAATGTCAGAACACAGAAGCCTGCTTGCAGTTTCAGCGGGAACACTGGCCACTTGTAGCTCGTCCCTAGCTCTAATGCCAAACCCCGAAAGTAGAGGAACAGTTCATGTTTATCACCATAGCTGCCAATTACGTGTGTGGGTTTCTGGCTAGGTGTTGAGGCTGCAGAACTGGTGGAGATATTCGTGGCCAGAGAAGCTTACTTGTCACGTTCCTAATTCCGTTTGAGACTGGGTTCCTTTGGGCATGTGACCTCTGGGTATTGAGCACACAGCATTAGAAAGAGAGGCTGTCTAGAGTGGAAGTCATACATACGCAGTTGCCAGAGTATAGAAAAAAAAAAAAACCAAAAAACGTTTTTTTATTTTGTGGAAAACAAAGCAGAAAAACTAAAACCCCAAAACTCCAGAAAAAAATCCTAAAAAATACGTTTTTTCTTAAAAAATACTGTATAAGTCTCTACTCCTCTCCCTTCCCCCCCCAACAGCCCTCCTGTGTCCTTTCTCCTAAGTGCCCTGCCCCCCACCCCCTCCACTATTCATCGTTCTTGCTATTGTACCCCCACTTCCCGATACCTACCCAGGATGCTCACCCGGTGTTCTCTTATCTGGCATCTTTGTTTTCCCTCAACTTTGGTGAGCCTGTACCCACAGTCCCACTTCCCCAGCATGCAAGAACTGTCTCCCCTTTCTTTTCTGGGATTCAATGATTGTTACCCCCTATCATGCCCTCTCCCAAGGATCTAGTCTAAACAGGAGCAAATAAACTGCCTCCTGTCAAATTCCCTCCCGATTTCCCACCCACACCACCCACCTCAAGAAATGTCAGAATCTTCCCCCTAGACAGCCTTAGCCAGGAAAACAAAAACAAAAACAAAAACGTTTTCCTCATTCTACAGGACCCTATCCCCTCCCTCCACATATCCATGCACCTCTACAAGAAATCTTTCTTTGGGACCCCATATTGCCTTGGTTTTGTCAAAGAACCCTGTCTCTGGCTCCATCCTTTTCTGCTCTGAAGAGGCAGGGTCTTCTCTCCAAGGAATTTTCCTCCCTCAGATGTGTGTGTGCCCCGACCCCTGATCCCCAATTCTCCTGGGCCCATAAGCCTTCTTCCCACCCAACCCAGGGACCCCAGCCTCCTGGCCCTGCTAGCGGATGAGGACGTTGATCTCAGCCACACTGGCCTCTAGCACGTTCTCAGCTGTGGTCTTGCCGTGCTGCTCCTTGAGGTGCCGCCTGATGGCAGGCTTGTGGGCGAAGCGCACGTCGCAGTAGGAGCAGCGATAGGGCCGCGCTCCTGAGTGCAGATTGAGGTGGTCGTGCAGTGTGGACTTCTGCGTGAAGCACTTGCCGCAGATGCCGCACGAATGCGACTTGACGCCACGGTGCACGTTCATGTGGCGGTTGAGGTTGCTGCTGTGGTTGAACTGCTTGCCGCAGCGTGGGCACATGAAGATGAAATGCTGTGCACGCATGTGGAAGACCAGCTTCTCCACGCCCTGAAACACTTCCGGGCACTTGGTGCACTTGATGTTCTTTAAGGGGTTTCCACTTGAAAAGCCCCCGGGCAGGGGTCCCCGGCTGCCCCCTGCCCCAAGACTGCCCCCCGCCCCCCGGGCAGCCATGGCCACTGCTGCTGCTTCCACAAGGCCTGAGGTGGCCCCCACACTAGCCCGGCCTCCAGGGATCAACAGCAGGCCCTCCCCTTCTGCGTCCTCAGACAGGCTGTAGCAGGCCTTCACCACCCCTTGTGGTGGGGCTACAGTGCTGGGGGCCACGCTACTCTGGGCCAGCTCTCCAAGGTGGCCACTTACGGAGCCCCCAATACCCAGACCCCCTCCAAGGCCTCCAGGGGGTTTGAGCCGGTGTGCCACCTCTAGGGCAGATTCCACCTTCACGATGCAGATGTCAGACACATCTTCGTCCTCGTCCTCATCCTCCTCCTCAGCCTTCAGTTCCAGGTCCTCATCCAATGGGAACTCCAACTTCACCGGCCGCAGGAGCGGAGGGGGTAGAGGAGGTGGGGGCGGGGGCTTAGGAGCTGGCTTTGGGATCCTGGCTGGAGGGAGGAGGGACTTGGTGGCACTGACACTGCTCACGAGGCTAGCCTCACTGACTCCATCCTCTTTGAGGCCTATTTTGGGTTCAATGAACTGGCTGAGGGCATTCCGGCATTTCTCCACCACGTGCTCCATTTGCAGGTAGGAGGCAGCTGTTAAGTAATTGACAATGTCCCTGACAGCGAATTCCAGAGCGCCTGTATAGCAGGAGAGGAGTAGGTCGGCCACAATGCGTGCACTGTGCATCAGCGAAACCTGCAGCTCAGAGCTGGGGTTCAGCAAGAATTGGTCCCGTAGGAACGGTGAACAAGCGGCCAGGATGACCTTGTGGCCGCGGAACTTGAGGCTGTCGGCCACAATGGTCACGTCGCAGAACCGCTCCTCTGCACGGAGCTGGTTCATGTTCCGCAGCGTAGCGGCCTCGTGGCCTGGTAGCTGGAAGCGCAGGACTTCCACCCCAGAGGCCATTGTGGCGGGAGTGGGCAACCCTAGTTGGGAAGGAAACCAGTCAGACACAAAGGTCTCTGGCACTCCAAAGCCAAGGCTCCAGGGCCCTCGCCCCCATTTCTGCCCGTCCCCCAAGCTTCGGCTCTCCCGGTCTTCACACCTCTTCCTCAGTTTCCCCAACCCCGGGGAGGCGCGGTTCCTACTCGGAGGGAGGCGTGGTTCCCGGGGGCGGGGCAGCGGCGTCCACACCCCCCCAGTCCGGCGGCCCGCGACGATGGGGAGAGCCCGCGCGCCCACGGGAGGACGGAGAATGGGCGGGGGAGGGGGAAACAGAGACCTGAGATTCTGTACTTTGAGCGGCCCCGGCTGCAGGATCTTCACACCCCCACCTCCTTTACCCCGGGCTTCATTCCGCTAGCCCTTCCTTTTTACGTTCTTTCTACCCCCCAACCCCGCCGCCGGCACGCATCGTGCCCGCCCCCCTCCCACGCTCAGAGCTCCGTGGCACGCCCCCCCAGTCCCACGACCCTGAGTGCACGCGCCTCTCACCTGGCCGGGTTCCGCGCGCTGTTTTTTTTCCCCCTAATTTCCCCACCCCCCCGGGGCCGGCAGCGCCCCCCACGCACGGGCAGGGCCTGGGCAGCGCGCCTGCGCGGGGGTGCACGGGGCGCGCGCGCGGGGCCGGCTCCGCGTGGGCGTAAGGGGGGAGGGGCGGGGGCAGCTCGTGCCGTGTGTTCCAGGCCCCGCGCTCGGCAGAGTCGCCGAGGATTCAGGGAGGAGGAAGAGGGGAGGGAATTAAAGGAGCAGGATCCCCTTTTCCGACCCCCCTTTCTTCCCCGGCACCCCCACTCGGTTAAAGGGCTGGATGGCCGTGGCTCCCCTTTGGCCAGGATTATTTGTCCGCCAGAGCGGAAATACGTTCCACACCCCCCTCTTTCTCGTTCCCCCTCCTCTGTGCCTCTGGGGCCCGCGGTCCGTCTGCGCGTGCGTGCCAAGTGCCGCGCAAAGGCCCG